TACTTCACTAACTACACTAGATGCACCTTAGCTGGAGGACCATAACAGAGGGCAATCGATGTATGAATGGCATCATATTTGACTTTTCCAGACAAAATATCTCCTGCCAGATTTTCCTGAAAAAAAGAAAAGGCAACCAACAGTGACAAACAAATAGAAATATGAATAAACCATGCTTGGTGGCATACAGGACAACCCATTAAATGGCAATCTGCATACAAAAAGACATTTCAACACGTTAAAACTATATGAAAACACATTGAAAACCAAAAACTGTTCAAAATGGAGACTTGCCCCATATTTACACGGCATGCTTAAGAGTTTACTGTTGGACAGGATCACTAATAACCCATTCAGTGGCAAAAGCATCCACTCAAGAGTGGGAACATTGATCCCGAAAAATGAACACCATGAACGCATGCTGATAAAGTGACTTCAAACTTACATCGAGGAAGCCAGAATGAGGTTTTAGACAAGATTTATCATCATATGAGGACGTTAAACGTGCAATATGGCAGTTAACGTCGATAAACTGCGGGGAAACGTGCATAGGTTTACTCTGGCTGTCCACGCGGGAGGCTCACGCGGGTGGGGTTTAAATTGAGCTCAGTTTAAGAAAAAAATAATACTATGACGGGTTGTATTAAAACGCCTTTTAGCTTTAAAAAAAATACTCTGTACCAACTGTTACCGAGGAACTTACAGTACAATAACTCGGGGGGGGTTGCTGCCACAAAGTGGCGCCAACAGAGAGATGCTATGATGAGCGCGCGCGCGCTTGTCCCTTCAATTTGAAAAAATTAATAACGATCCCGGCGGCTATCACTTCCGCTTTAATCCAGCTCTGTTAAACTAACGCCACACAAACACCACGAGCAACCGAGGTAGTGGATGACTGTCTTTGTTATGGCGTTTTAAGATTGAGTTAAATGCCAGCAACTCAGGACGTCAACAAATAGCGGTGAAAATAAGTAGAACTGTTTCTTTCCAAGGAGCCGATAATGAGGTGAGTCATTGAGTTTACAGCAGAGTGCACCTTAAACGCAACATATAGCTAATTTTGTGGGACAACCACCATTCAGATACTCTTACACATATTCAAGCAAGCCGAATTGGTAGAAAACTAACTTTATATTAGCCAATGTGTAATAGTACGAGGACGAAAGAGCTGCAAACATCCTACCTGAAGCTCTATTTAACGGATTAACACATTTAGCGCGCTCAATCAAGGAGAAGGCTTCACTCGTGCTACGTACCTTTCTCCGCAGATGTTGTGCTCCCCGTAGCCCTGTCCTTTAAACCCTTCAGCACTGACAAAAAGTTATGTCAAGCATGAAATTGTGGGAGCATCTTACTTGTTGTGTTTCCCTTATTGTGGGGGTGGGGGCAGGAGCGCGGCCGACTCACTCTTTCAGGATGTCATGCATATAAATCCCCACCACCTCCAAATATATGTCGACTTTACTGCATCGGGATTGAAGACAGTGCTGTTGGTTTTCATAAAAAAAACAAAAAAACACCTGAAACCACACAGACGCGAATATTGACCCATTTTGCTCTGCCTGTGAACGCAGCATTCGTCAAAAGGAAGTCCATGAGGCTTGTGACCTGTAACCCCTCTGAAACCCTGCCCCCCACATGGCCCTGCTCTGCCTGCAGGAGCGTCCCACAAACATCCCTTCAATCATGTGCAGGCTATTGTCACTCCATTGGCTTCCAAACCATCAGACATGAAGGGCCTTTGGCAAGAGTGTTGTGACACTCCCCCTTCCATGGGGGAAAGAACCATTACTGGCCTTCTTCTATCATTCAACTTTAACCTACTTTCCCATGCTTCCCTTGGTCTGCTTGAATAGGCTGTGATCAGAGGAGTTTAAGAGCTATATCCCATTTCATCTCACTAGGCCCGGTAGGTAGGTCTGAGCTAATAATGCCCATGGAACACATCTAATTTTGAGGAAACTGAGTTAAAGATGCCTTTGTGTTGTGATTTGTTTTTAATACCTAAATGAAGGCATTTTATATAAGGTAGTATGTGCAGATATTAAGCCTGATGTTTTTTAAGGCTGCCAAGGCACACACGGAGATACATTTTGATAAAGTGAATGATAGGCATGCTCCCCATTACATGTTATGTATAGGATTAACATTAGAAAATGTCTTTGAGATCTCAGGCTTTGTGTAGATTAGGATTCGTCTCTTGGACGTGAGGTTTAAGAGTGTGGGGTTGGTGGGTGGAGGGGGGCAGTTGTGGGCTCTATTCATTGTGGCCGGCTTTGAACTTAAACCATTTCAAAACATCTGTGGCTGGGCTTTGGAATTCTTTTGGTCTGATGAGTTTTTTGGAGAAAAGAGAAAGCCCAGCCAGACAGTTCCCATTATTAGACATTGTTATATACACACACACACATATATATATATATATATATATATATATATATACACTTCTATATAGATATTAAAAACCCAATATTTAGGTAAACTTAAATGTCATTATTATACCAGGAGTTTTTGTAAACCTGAAAAGTACAACTACAAGGTGTACGTGGTTGTAAACAGCTGCCTCTGGTGGAATGTTTGTGAACAACACCTCTGTCTAAAAGTGTGTGTCATAAATGGACTCTTAAGAAAATAATAAGAATAATAACTGGCAAATGTAACCACACAAACATCATGTAAATATGCAGAATAAACACATTATTTAGACTCTCCCCTCTCCTTCTGGGTAGTTTATCACTTTCTCTTCATTTCCAGAGAGCTACGTCTGTGTCTAGTCATCTGTTACAGGCATGAACAGCAACGAACAAGCACTGACCTATGTTTGTGTGATCTGTCTCTCTGTTTCCTCACCCCAACAGGTCAAGGCAGAGAGTCATCCTCAGTTTCTTCCTCCAAAAAAGAGGTGTGTATGTATATATGTGTGTGTGTGTGTGTATGTGTACAGAATTAATTTATTTATGTATAAATAATATTGCCAGGGATTCATATTCAAATAAAAGGGAGGTAGGGTTATAGGAATATGAAATGCTTTGTTAATACAACAACTACAAGGTGCCAGCAGTTGTAAACAGCTCCCTCTGGTGGAATGGCAGTGCACCTTCCCAAAGTGCACATCTTGACTGGACTCCTAATTTCCTGGAGGTTGGACTATTTATTCTATAATCTGAAGGTAATTCACAATATTTTAACTATTTTTATCAATCATAGTATCTTAGGAAGCCTGAGTACCCGTAGAGAGCCTATGTAGAAACAAGGAGAACATGGGAACTCCACACAGAAAGGTCCCTGTCTCCCGTGGGGAAAAAAAACCCACTTGATGCGAGGCAACGGTGCTAACCATCACACCAGCGTGCTGTCACATGGTAATGAATCAGAATGAAATCTGAATTTCTATGTATTCCAATACTAAATGTTCTGTGTGCATTTTTAGATTATAGTGGGGTTTTTCCTTCCTAATCATTATTGTTGTCTTAATGTAATAGTTTTTTTCAGCTAAGGGTCAGACACCACCGGGAGGAGGCCCAGAGGAATTCGCAGGACACGCCGGAGGGACTATGTGTCTCGGCTGGCGTGGGAACGCCTTAGGATCGTGCCTTGGGAGGAGCTGGCAGAAGTGGCAGTTGAGAAGGAAGACTGGGTTTCCCTGCTTTGGCTGCTGCCCCCATGACCCTGGATAAGTGGTGGAAAATGGATGGATGGTGAGACATCATGGGGAGGGGGACACTATTTATTAATGCCATTTTATAGTTATTAACTGCTCACTTAAGCCACTTTTAGTACATGCAACTGGTAACAATTTTCAAAACATTTTCCAGCTGTCCATATGACAACCTGGATATGAATGTTTGTTTTGAATCAAATTCAAACGTAAATACAGAATTGGAACCCCTGAAAGTTCCCAGTGCACTGTTAGATCAGCAATGACATCACACAGAATATGCTATGGAATGGTATTCAGAACCTAAAGCTGTCATATTCTTACTTGTCTGGTACAGAGTAACGCACTTGTTTCAGCAGTTCTCGAAACTGACTTTGTGGCCGTATCAATTATTGAACTTTTGAATTGCATAGCATCTCAAAGTTTTAAGCGAAGATAATGTCTAACGGTGAAGACAAGGTGAGTACAGCCCAATTAAGTTAATCAAATTCAGTAAATTATGTTTTAGAATTTTTTTACTAGCATTGATGGCAGATAACACTATCAATAACTTGAGGTTTTTCTTCATTACTATAAATATTGATAATTCTCTCAAATATTTTGTTTGCAAACAAAATATTATTTTCCTTCCATTTGATATATTTACCTTGTAAATTTTCAAATTCTTGAAAATATACAAAAGGTAGTCAAACCCTCACAAGTTGTAACCATCTGAAATTAGATCTCAGTTGGGATAAATAAGTGTGAGAAAATGCATTCATATTTCACACGGCTGCTTTATTAGCTCTGGATTCATTTTTCCCATATTGCCGCGGATGTTTTTCATGTTAACCTGCTCCAGCATACCAGATTTCTATGAATGTGTCAGCTCTTTAAGTTCTGCAGAGGGCTGGTGAAGACACAATTGTTTGAATCTGGAGTGCTGAAGCAGGGAAACATGGAAAACATGTAGGGTAGTGTGATCCATGTGGTGTTTTGATAAGTGTATGGATATTTCTGCCATCTCTTTAACAAAAAGAATTTTCTGACTGAAGTTATTTAGCAAACTCATGTAAAAACTTTTTTTTTGTGGTTTTCTTTTTTCAAGAACATGATGTATCGGTGCAAGGAATATGAAATATACAAGGCTCGTAGCGATGCCGTCTGGCGTCAAACTGAGATGGTGTGTGCTGTACAGGAAGCGCGTACAGCGGCTGTCTTAAACAAACTGAGACGCTACACCCAGCCCCTCTCCACACCTCACCCCCCAGCTAGCCAAAGGAAAAATCCTAGATCACCTGTCCATGAATGGAGACTCAAACCAGCCTTAGCTCTACCAAAGCTACCAAAGATGCCTACAAACATGGTTTGGGTCCCGACTCCACAAAAAAGAAAATGGACCGTGGATGAATTCCTGGAGGACGAGCACCTCAGCCCAGCACCATCCATCGGCTCAGAGTGCTCCCTTAGCCCTGTGTATGCTGAGCCTCTGACAAGATTTGGGACGGCCGTCTCACCTATAATGAGCCCTGATGGGAGGTCACTGTCTTCCTCACCCTTCACTCCATCTCCTCCCCCACCGCCCCCCAGAAGAAGAGCATCCCGGATCCCTCTGCTGATAGTGAAAAACAACAGAGATGGTAAGTTCTTTTGTGAAAAAACTCATGAGTCCAGAATGGTAAAAGTTACTTTATCGAAGAAATAGCAAACCCTGCAAATAGTTGGTGTGCTGAAAATGGTCTTGATGAATATCTGAATTTAATCTCGTTTAGTCAAAGAAGTCGCCAATGGATGTCGGCTTCAGACAGCAGAGGCTCAGTTTGGGGCGTTTGAGAAGAGACTGAGGGGCCTACAGTGGCAACTGCTGGCTCCGGTGCCAGAACATCCTGAGACTCCTAGAGAGATTCCTGCACTGGAAAAGAAGCCACCACTTTTTAAACCCAGCCCTCCTCCGAAGAAAACCACTTCTCAAACAACAGTGCGTACAAGGAAAACAACAAGGACCAACGTGATGAAAAAGACGCAGACAGTCAAGATGCAAGAAAGTAAAGATCAGGAGGAGCTGGAGCCGCTGACTAAACCTGCAGCCAGTCTGTCTGAGTTCTTTGCTCAGATCGTTTCAGAAGAATGGTAAGCCCTCACTCACTCAGTCAATCAGCCTGCCCTGTTGCCTTCTTTGTAGCTGCCCTTAAGCTGTAAAAGTGTAATAATGTTCCAGCAAACAGCGCTAACAGTATCATCATACAGGGAAAAGAAGATTGAAGCGCTGCGCTGGGTCCGTGCTCTGGCCCAGCACCATCAAAATGTTCTGCTGGGCAAACTACATGAAGTGTGTCTGGCTGTTATGGAAGAGGTATATTTTCCTTTTCGTCTCTCAAAGTCTATATTCAAATAAATCTGTGTTCGGGCTACCACTGACAGCTGCTGTTCACTCTTCCTGTCTAGGTTCACAATTTGCGTTCGTCTGTGGCCTGTGCAGCCATAGACACCATGGCGTCCCTTTATACCAACCTGCAAAAGAACATGGACAATGAAGTGGAGAGGACCGGCCGCTGTCTGATTCTGAGGATTGCACAAGCGACTGTGAATACCTTTGTGCAGCAGCAGGTCAACTTGGCCCTGGCGGCCCTGGTGCACAACTGCAGTCCAGGCCGCGTGCTGACTGTTCTCCTCCACATAGGAGTGGGGTAAGGAAGCCGAATGCAAAGTCAGAATCTACTAATGGAGCGCGGCAGTGGCCGTAATCCTAGGAAGTCCAATTTAGTAGTGCTCGACTCATTGTGTTTGTCCCCCCTTAGGCATCTGAGTCCAGCAGTGAGGGCCAGCACAGGTCAACAGCTCCAACTGATGGCTGACAAAATGGGAGCAGAAGCCGTTTTAACTACAGGACAGAGCTTCACACCACGTTTCCTCACAGCAGTGAGCAAACTTTCAGTGGATGCTGCAGCTGAAGTCAGGTCAGTTATCACAATGCTTCACAACTCTCTGTAAGGTTGTAAACTGTATATAATGCTAAACTCTAAACAAGGAAACATTTATGTGTGCAGGTGTCGTGGCCAGGCCGCCATCCAAATACTGGCCAAGCACCAAGACTTCATGAAGCTGTGGCTCCAGAGCGTTCATGAAAAAGACCAGCGCTTTCTGCAAAAGATCGTGATGAATGCCTGCAGAAAGTAGAGGTGATGCGGCTACTTTTAAGCTTTTCATCATTTAATTTGATTTCAAAAGCTACAATTTCATTTCAACATTACAGTTAGACCTACAAATTACTATAATATACCTGAATTTCAAAAAGCTTCCATGCTAAAATGGAAGCTAAAATGAATGAAGATGATGAAACACAAAAATTTTATTTGGAAAAATATTTCTAAAAACGACTGAGAGGAAAGTGGAATACTTTTACTGCCTTGATTATGGTCTAAATAATTAGAAATTGTGTTAAAATTGTGTTATATTCATTTACTTTGCCTCTTGTCTTATAAACTAATTTATTTATTTAGCTGGGAGATTCATTTATGGGTCCTTACTTCATTCTTGTATCATTTTCATTTACATTATATTGACTTAACTCCATTTCCATTTTCCTGATATCCCCATAAAAATTAAAGATATGACATGTTTCCACTTTAAAGAATAAGTTGAACTAAAAAGTGAGAGCAAAGTATTAGATGAATTGACAAAGGCTTACAGGAATGTTAAAAATTAGGACAGACATTTTTATTTCACAACTTCTTCTGGAAATTAATTTTCACATGTAGATTCTGTTGTATTTATCCATCAATAAATGTATATGTGGTTGGTGCTTTCTTGGGATTTATTAAATATTATGGCAGTTTTAGTCCTCCATAATGTGGAAAACATGAGTTAAGGATAACCTGCTTTCATATTATTTACTTCAACAGAATGAAAAATAACTTTCTACTTTCATCATTAATGCATGTTACTAACTCGACTTCTTCTCTTTCCCGTAGCCGTGTGCTTCCTCGTCCCTCTCCTCTCTCTTCTCTCCTCATATCACTTCCTACAGGAGATCTGGAGCTGTGGAGGCTGGATCTGTGGATGGGGGTCTCCTGCTGCCCCCGTGTTCATACTCAACACACTATACTACAGTTACAGCTACAGTTACAACTACAGTTACAACTACTGTTCATAGTGCTTTTGCTATTTTTACAGTAATTATTATCATTAGCATTAATATCAATATCTGTACAATTTTTCATTCAGCCTATAGCAACACTACCTTTACTTGTAAGTAGTACCTCTATGTGTTACTGTGTCGGCTGCTTCCCCCCTGCTATCTCTGCACTCTCTGTTTTCTCTCTGTTTTCTCTCTCTCCTCTCGCCCTTCCTCTCTCTCTCTCTCTCTCTCACACCCAACCGGTCGAGGCAGATGGCCGCCCACCCTGAGCCATGGTTCTGCTCGAGGTTTCTGCCTCTTAAAAGGAAGTTTTTCCTCGCCTGTGTTGCCTAGTGCTTGCTCTTGGTGGGAATTGTTGGGCTTCTTTAAAAAACTTTAGAGTACGGTCTAGACCTGCTCTTTATGACATGCGCTGTGAGATATCTGTTGTTGTGATTTGGCACTATATATGTAGAATTGAATTTAATTTTATATTTCTCCATTAGTCCACTCACCTGACGTTTAGTGATGGTCACAGCATGTTATTCACACCATTTTGATGCTTGTTTGTTCATTCAATAAAGCTGTGTTTCTTTATAACGGACCGTTTTTGTTTTTTGTTTTTTTCCAAACCAAAATTAATTATTTTTCCCTTCAAAGCTGAGCTGGACCATTTAAATCCACATGGCCCCTCCCGGATGGTCGAGCTTCTCACCCTATCTCTAAGGGAGAACCCAACCACCCTGCAAAGGAAACTCATTTCGGCCGCTTGTATCTGCGATCTCTCCAGAATAGCTAAAACAGTTGGGATAGAATGTGCGGGATCAGGGTGTCAATAGTGATGGCAAAAAGCAAAGGTGATAGACCTTGGCGACATCCACGTTCAAGGGCAAAAGAATAAACATAATTAGTGTGGACACTAGACTTAGGGGACGAATAAAGGAGGCGAATCCATGAAGTAAATCTATCACCAAATCTGAATTTCTTTAAAACTGCAAACAAGTACTCCCACTGTACCCTATCAAACGCCTTTTCCGCATCCAAAGAAATCACGAGTTCAGGCATTTCAGACGAATGTTTTTATTTTTTTAAGATTTTGTTGGCTCTAGCAGCCTTTAATGACAGTAGCTTGACAGGAAAGGGGGCAGAGATAGAGAGGGGGAGACAGTTATGTCTTTCGAGCAAAGGCTCTGCATATGGGCCACTCTAACCATTAGGCTATGGCTGCGGCCCTCAGACGAATGTTTTGAGTAAAATTTATTGAAGAGTGCACGGGTATTAAAAAACAATTGACATCCCTTAATAAAACCATTTTAGCTCTTCGGATATAATATGAGGAAACACATTCTCAAGGCGGGATGCACTAACTTTAGCTAGCACCTTTACATCAGCATTAAGCAGAGATAATGGTCTGTAAGAACCACAGGAGGTTGGTTATTTGTCTATTTTAAGAAGTAGAGCAATAGTGGCTTATGTCAAGGTTGGTGGTAATTAACCACTTTCCATGGATTCATTAAATACGGATACAAGTAGCGATGCCAATTTACCAATACATTTTTTCAAGAATTCAATCGGAAACCTGTCAGGGCCTGGGGATTTATTAGATTGCATAGCTTTAGTTGCATTTAACACTTCTTCAAGGTAGAGTGGGGAGTCTAGTTGTCTGGCATTACTAGAATCAATAACAGGGTATGGAAGGTTTCGAAGAAACATTTTCATATCAGTGTTATCTGTAGGAAATTCAGATTTGTATAATGAAGAATAAAATTATTTAAAAGCAAGCCAATGTTGTGCATAAAAAAAAAATATATATATGTTACCTTTCTTAATGAAAGAAAAAGACACAGCATTCTCAAACTCAAAGTCCCATGAGGTAATTCCTGTAAAACTATGGCCCAATGATACCCACTGAAATTTCTAAATTTAGCACTCATCATCTTGTTTACCTGCATGTCATAAATCCATCTGTCTGGCCCAGAGATGATGCAATAAGCTATTTTTAGAATGATGCCCTGGTAACATCCACTTCTAACAATGCCGCAACAACAATGTGATGGATGATGGGCCTTACTGTGTCAGTATGTTCTGTAAAGATGAAAGAACTCCACCCTTCATTCTTTTTAGGGGACGGTGAGTGTGTGAGAAACGAGGCAAGTAAAGATAACTTTAAAATCAGCTCGAGATCTTTTATGTTTGAAGATCAACTCTGAGACCGATGTAACATTCTTTAATACAATAAAGGGTTGATGTTTTGTTTAATTGTTTTTCTTCAGTATTCTATGTGTAAAGAGGAAATGGAGTGTCTCTCTGTGAGATCAGTTCGGGTGGCTGTACATGTGAGCTCTGAATAGATGGCTGGGACCAAACCCTGCTGTGCCATCCAATGCTTTGTTACTATTTCAGTCATGAAGGCCCAGCGTGAACATGAAAAAAATCAAATAAATCGTACCAGTTATTGATTCTTCAGTGCTTTTGAATCACGCGTACTGTTACTAGTGCACAGCCACGTTAAGCACTGTGTGGTCGCATCTGACCTCTATGAGCTGCCCACGTGCGACCAAAGTGCAACCACTATGTGCTGACCGGGCCAACAGGATCCCCATGCCACTCTGCCATGGCCACATGTATAAAATATCACTATTTAAGTCCCCGCACACAAAAACAAAACAACTCTCACAATAAAGCCAATACAACAAACTGAAGCATTTAGTTAGAAAAAGCTGTTCACCAGGAAGATACATTAGAACAATAATATGTTTACTTTTTCAATAGTTCTAAAACATTGAAAAGTTCTGGAAAAGGACTTTGAAGAACACCCCATTGATTATTGTTTTCTGTGAATGATGAGAAATTTCTGTCATTTGAACATCTCTGCCCGCAACCATGTACGCAGAAGGGTAACAGTTTAAGGTCCAACAGAAGAACGGTGGACTAAAAGGGATTTCATTATCACTAGAAAAAAAACAATTTGGATGGAAAAATCACCTCCATATCCACAAACTGAAGGTAGTCATCTCATTTTTTCTTCCCATATCTTATACCTTATTTTTTGACCTATTAAATCATTTGCAGCCCTGACCACCACCTTGTTAGGATTTGGTTAAAAATACTCACTTTAGCATTGTTTGCTATCACATGATCTATGATTGTTTTATTTTCTATTATAACTGTATTTTGTGTTGAAGTCTCTGGTTGTAACCACAGACTCTTCCTCTCTCTTTTCTTTCTCTCTTTTCTTTCTCTGTTGCATTAGATCCACGTCTTTAGGTCAACAAAAACACACACACACAGAATTTGATGCCACATTCCAATGTCATCAACATGAATTAGGACCTGGCTTGTTAGTCTTAGAGGTAACTAACCAATAGGAGTTGGTTGGGACCAGTCCTTCTTTTGAGGGGTGTGCCCAGCTCAGGAGACAAAGACCCATCACACCCAGATCTCAGGGCTGTTTGCCAACTCTGTGCTGGTAAAACAGGTGCCATTATCCAACACTAAAACACTCAGCAGTCCATGGTTACTGAAACTCGTACGCAGGCACTCAATTGTGTTGGCTGAAGTGGCAGAGTTCACTGGATACACGTCCATCCACTTTGAATGTGCATCAAGGAGTACAAAAAACTGTTTGTCCATAAACGGACGAGCATAATCCACATGGATACGGCTCCAATGTTTGTTAGGCCAATCCCAGGGGTGTAATGGAGCTGGTGCAGGAATGTTGCGGTGCTCTTGACATGTTGTACAGCCCTTAACCGTATCCTCCACCTCTTTGTCCAGCCTAGGCCACCATACATTACTCCTAGCCAGTGCCTTTATTCTGGACACTCCATGGTGGCACTGATGAAGCTGCTTTATAACCTGTTCTTGACCTTGTTTTGGCACAATCACCCTCGAGCCCCATAACACACAACCGTTTTGGATACTGTTTCCCTACCTCATAGGGGGCAAACTCCTCTCCTTTCAGCTTTTATGTCAAGCCATTTCGTACCAACTCCCGCACTTTCGAGAGTACTGGATCTTTGTCTGTCCAAGCTTTTACTTGATCAGCTCTCACCATTGT